AAAAAAAAGAGGATACAGATGAATGTCCATTTTGTATCTGTGTATTCAAAATGGTTAGGATGGATATATAGCTACATTCTCTTAATTCAATGAGTAGAGGGATTGGTTCTAATAGTATTTGTAAATAGGATCTCATGTCTGCATCTTGTACAACAAATAACCACTAGGAAGACAGTATGCAATGTGTTAATTATTGGAATTATCCTACCAATTTGATTTGAAACTGTCTCATTGCTATTTATTTCTCAATAAAATTATGGAAAAAATAAAAATAAAATAATAATTTTTCCTGTTTTGAGTCACTTTGGCTCACATGCTGGACATGGTATGTCTGACAGCATTTGCTGTTATCGTAGCAAAACACAGGAGTCTGGGTAACTTACAAAGAAAAGAATGTATTTCTTCTATCTTGGAGGTTGTGAAAGACCTCTGGTGGGGGCTTCCTTACTGTATCAAACATGGGCAAAGGATCACGTGATGGAACAAAGCAAGAGTGACGCCTCAGGTCCTTCCTCCTGCAAACCCACAATACCGTCACAGGGGCCCCACCTTGCATCCTCACTTCTCTCTAATTAGCTCTCAAAGGCCCCATCTCCAAAGGCCATTAAAACATGAACTTGAGGATTAAATGTCCAACACATGAACTTTGGGGGACCACTCAAATCATACCATAGTAACTGATACTTTAAGAAGACTTCAGATTCTATCACATTCTTTTGTTTGTTTGCTTGTTCCATGTATTTGGTACAAGGTCTCACTATGCAGCTCAGACTTCTATTGATCCTCCTGTTTTTGGCCTCCCCAGCGCTGGGATATCAGGCATGTGCCATCATGCCCAGACTTGGTGGATGGCTCAGCGTGCCCAGAGGCAGGGCTGGTGCCATCTATCTTGTTATTTCAAAGATACTTTTTTAAGTAAGCAGTTAACTTGACTTAGCTTAAACTGCAAGCCTTTTTTAAAGAAAATCAAGACTCAAATGTTAAATTCAGCTTCTTCCAGTCCCTGGCAAGCTTCTCCGAGTCTATGACAATAGACTCCCATAAACAATATGCATTGTTTATGGGAATAAATGCAGAACTATCTGATGTGGCCAAGTAGCTTCCAGCCCCACACAGTGAGAGGAAACCTCACCTGCAAGGCTCAGAGCTCAGCCATGACTCGGGGCCCAGCTGCAGCCTCACAGCCGCTCCTAGCACCTACTTGTGGCCCCAGACAAATGGAGGTGAGCAGAAGCCTCGGGTGATGAGTTCAGCAGGGAGAGCGGTCTTAACCTCTCCACAGCTCCAGGGCCCTCAATACCTTCTCCTTCTCCCTCTCGGCTTCCAGAGGTGCCGGCCCATGCAGTGCCAGCCTTCAATAGCCCATGCCTGCATCTACGTCCACTGCTTCTCAGGGCATTACTTCTGCTTCTCCTGCCCCAGCTAGAACTATAGAGCAATAGCCACTTCCTGCATTGCATCTAGCTAGAGACAGGGACAGGGAGCCAGTACAACAAACAGGGCAGGAGCTCTGCTGCCACCACAGCCCACGGCACCTGCAGTCTCCAGCTGTACACACAGCCCTCGAGCTCTATCTCTCCAGTCCCACATCCCTGGCGGCTTCCTCCTCTGTCCCTGTCACATACTGCAGTCTCACCTGGTGGACCTTCATGTTCAAGTGTCGGATTCTCCACAACCGGGCCACCACATCCAGGCCTTGGGCTGTCCCGTGTGACCTTGAGCCTGCAGGGCAAGGAGCCTGCAGAGATTGTAGGGGCTTCCCAAGACTCCCAGCTCCCATGGGTAAGGATGGAGAAGAAGGGAAGGCTCAAGTTCATAGAGCACAACTTCAGGTTCTAGGAGAGGCTGACCGGGTACAGAAATAAGTGAGAGAGACAGAGAGGAGCCCACTCACAGGGAGCCGCCATATCACGGGCACACAGTAAAAATCAGGTTTGTTCAAATCATCAAGGGCCTGAATTCAATCCCTGGTTCCGGAAAAAAAAAAAAAAAATCAAATCAGTTTTAAATAGTACGAAAGAGTTGAGCGCAAAGGGCCTTCAAGGTGAGGGGCGTCTAGGCCTCTTCCTCCAAGCTTCAATCGGCTATTCCTGTGTCCGGCAGCAGGTGGCACTGAACCCAGAGATTAGGAAAAGGAAACTGGAGTGTTGCTTAACTTATTTCCAGTAACTTCTCCCTCCTCCCCTCTGGGGCTTCCCCAGCCCCACCTCCTGTCCCCAGCTGGGCCAAGTCCTCTACAGGTTCCAGATGTCTGGTCTCAGAGTGGGGGAGCTATCTCTGGAGAAACTTTCCTCGTCAAGCGGCCCAGGCAAGATGTGAGTGCGCCCAGGAGAAGGTTGGAGAAAGAGAGTGGTGGGGACAGGAGAGGGCAGAGCACAGGGTCCTTCTGTGCACACACACACACACACACACACACACACACACACACCCCAGGTACTCCAGAAGGATATGGAATTCTCCTGTAGAGAATTCTGGCTGCCTTCTTCCTGGTCTGGGGGAGGAAACATTTCAATGCACCCTCCTTGAGCCCCCCTTGTTCCCTAACGTGCCAGGGAAGCGCTGGCTGGTGGACAGGCAGGAGGCAGCCTCTGATCTGGATGAGACTGAGGAGTGGCACAGTGGTGATAGCTTCAGGAGGCAAGACACAGTCCTGGGCCCAAGCTGGGCAGTAGCGGGCAGGGACTGAGGAGAGCAGGAAATGAGGGAGCAGACAGGAAGTGCCCGGACTCCTGCCTTTGCCAGGCCTCTCAGTCACCATCTTGTCCCCCTGCTCCCAGGTGCTGGCTGCTGCTCTGGGGAGTCCTCCACGTTTGCCCCACTCAGGGCTCCACGCTGCTGGCCTGGCGGCTACCCCAGCAGCTGACGTCTCCTGGATACCCACAACCCTACCCCAGAGGCCAGGAGAGCAGCGCTGACATCATGGCTCCAGGGGGCTTTGCTGTGAGGCTGCTCTTTCAGGACTTCGACCTGGAGCCATCCCAGGACTGTGAAGGGGACTCTGTCACTGTGAGCTGGGGTCCTGCGGGGGCTCTGAGGAGGTTCTGAGTCATGCTCTAGAGAAGGATGAAGAGCCCACATCAGGGTGCTGGGGCCCAGCCTCCCTGGGAAGTGACAGTGTGCCCAGTACACAGCTTCCCTCCAGCAACCTCTGCCCACCTCGTGCCATCTGGACCCCACAGAGCAAGGGAGAGGGTGCAGGACAGGCTCTGCATTTTGGAGACCTGCAGTGGAACACACGAATACTGTAGATCTATAGAGTATAAAAGGCTGGTGCACATATCAGGTTTTGTTGAGTGCCTGTTTCATCCAGTTAGGAAGCTGGGCACAGATTATAACAGAAGATTAAGTACCAATTTAATATCAGGTTTACCTTGAAAGAGATACTGTAAAATTCCTTATGGGGTGGGGTATATTATAGTACATAATCCCAGCACTCATAATCCAATAATCCCAGAACTCAGAAGGCTGAGGCAGGAGGATTATTACAAGTTCAAGACCAGCCTGGACTACAAAGTGAGCCCAAGGCAAGTCTGAACCACCTAATAAGACCCTATCTCAAAAACACAAAAATAAATAAATAAATGAACACCAATTTAAGCTACTTCTGGGTAATTTAGTAATTTATCCTACCTTTGATTCTGGAGATAGCTTGCATTCTTTCTTTAATAATTTTCCAGTGTCTGCTTTCTTTATTTTCTCTTACTGGACTTATAATTCAGCCATTGTAGGATCTCAGTCTTTGCAGAGGATGTTACTGCTTCACTACAGCTGGACACCAAACCCTACTCAGCAAAGTAGAAGGTGTTGGGGTGAGGCTGTAGGGAAGGTAGAAAAGCCAGAGGGAAGGCGCTGAGCCTGTACTCTTGGTTGGAAGCTGTGGTACTAGAGGGTTGTGTTGCACACCAGAGACTCGGTGATGAGCAAAGCAGACGTAGGCTCTGTCTTCTTAGGCCTTACAGCCCAGGGACAATTGCAGGAGCCCTGAAGCTCACAGAGAGCATCTCGAGAGAAGGAAAGTACGATGACTGATACACAGCGATTATAGCAGGCTACAGATATGCGAGTGTGTGGTCATTCTGGAGGAAACTTGGGAGTCAGTGTGAAAGCAAAAGGTTACTTGAGGGAAATCCAGTAGAGGCGGCTCCTGAGCCCCTGAGGGGTGCAAACCTTCTAGATGGGGCAGTGGTGGTGGACAGACCTGACCCTGGGACCACAGCACACAGGTTCATCTCACATCTACTGCTCCTCTTTCCAGATCTCAGGCAGTGGGATGCTTCCAAGCCGGCTCTGTGGTCAACAGGGCTCTGCTCTCAACAGCCCTCCTGGTCAGAAAGAGTTCGTGTCCTCTGGCAGGCATTTGAAGTTGACCTTCTGGGCGCACAATTCATCCCAGGAGCAGCCCAACCACCTCCACAAGGGCTTCCTGGCCATCTACCAAGCTGTGGGTGAGTGTCTCTCCTAGGGGTACAAAGGAGGACTGTCTGTCCCCAACCATGAAGCCTCCCGTCTTATTACCAGAAGTCGAACTCAGGACCTTGAGCTTACCAGGCAGGCACTATCCTGCTGAGCTATATATATCTCCAGGCCATACCTCCATCTTAAAGCCACAAATGAAAGCTCTAGCTTGGGCAGGGGTTGCAGGAATCCCTGAGCTGACCTCAGCCCTGACTCTGCTGGCAAACAGCCCCATTCAAGGGCAGTCATTGCTCCTTGATGCTTAGGCTCCAGGATGATTTACAGGCCCAGTATTTGCAGATCAAGAGAGGCCAAACAAAGACTGAGGGCCAGCGAGATAGCTCAGCGGTCTAAGCACCTGCCTAGGCAAGCACAAGGACCTGGGTTCAATCCCCAGTACCACATGCCATGCCAGCCCAACCCTGGGCTTACCAAGCCAGCCATCAAAACCAGGTGTGGTGGTGAACACTTGTAATCCCAGCACTGGGGAGGCTGAAAACAGGAGGATCACTATGAGTCCAAGCTGCACAGTGAGACCCTGTATCAAATACATAATTTTTTAAAAAAATAATAAAAGGACTGAGGAGGTAGCTAAGTGACAGAGCTCTTGAGTAACTGGTATAAAGCCCAGAGCAGAGCTCAAGACCTGGGGAGAGGGCACACCATACCAATACTGGCAGGGAAGGAGGAAGGGAGGGAAGAGGAGAGCTGATATTTTGAGGGAGATTAATGGCAATGTTCCTTTAACCACAATGAAGTTTTAAGGGCCAGGGAGAGGACTCAGTGGAATAAGCGCTTCCCTGGCAAGTGCAAGGGTCTGAGTTCAATACCCGGTTCCGCCAAAATAAAAATAAACAAATAAATAAAGTTTTAAGCTTTAAATATTCACTGTATATTTTGATCATCTCTTGTATTTAGCTAATCTCTTACCGTCAAAAATTTCGCTGCTATAAACACTGCTGCTATGGGTATCTTGGCACGGATGTCTGAGAATAGTCTCAGTATCTGAAATTCTAGGTTAAAAAGTCTTTACTTTTTTATTGTGATTATTGTTGAATTTCTCACAAAGACATTTTTCACTAATTTACACTCACTCCCCCAAGCCATGTACGGAAGTGCCTGCTTCCCCATCCTCTGCTGATCACAGTTATTTTCAAGCTCCAAATGTTGACAATGTGAATGGTGAAAACTTGTTCAACTGTTTTGTTTCGTTTTGTGTTTAAATCACTATGCAGATCAAGCTAAATAGAACCTTCCACACTACAAGTCTTCAGGGAGTTTTAATGACTTCTGCTTCCCACAGCTTGGAGCTGTGAGCCCCTTGGTAAGCCCAGTGGGAGCACTGTGGGCCCCCTCACTGCCAGGGCCACCTGCTCCACCATCCAGACGGACTGCCAGGAGCCCTATTACCAGGTGGTACCCGCTGGTAAGTCCCCCATGCTAGAAACGCTTCTGTGACCTGGACCCTCTGAGCACTCATTCTGTTAGCCCAGCGCCCTCCAACTTTGAGCCTGTCTTATGTTCCCCTCATTTCGCTCCTAGGGATGCTCAGCTGCCCAGTCCAGGGAGCCTGGGAGGACAGACAGGACAGGGAGGAGAGCCCTCAGTGCGTGCCTGGTAAGTAGGTCCCCCCCTTGTGCTATTCCGTGGGCCATCTCTGCAGTAAGCCTCTCTCCTGGATGTGCAGGCACCAGGACTGCAAGAGAGCATCAGGGAGGAAGGAGCAGAGTGGGGGAGCTCACCCCTAGTTCTCCCAACGTTGAAATCTGTCTGAGGGAAGCAAAACAAAAGGGAGTTAATCAGGTGGTCAAGGGAAGCAGGAAGAAGAGCTAAAATAACAGAAGAGTTTTCGTACGTCGTATTTTAAGGGCTCTCAAACTGCCCTAGAACCTCCCCTCCTGGTTGCCAAAGTGGCAGAAATTCTGCTTTCCTTGTGGAGTGGAGGTGCAGGCTGAGGACCGGACCCAGGGCCTCCCACAGGCTAAACATGGTCTCTACCACTGAGCTATGCCTTAGCCCTCTACCTTACCTTGTTTTAACACTAAAAAAGAGGAAAAAACAAACCAAAACAAGAACAAAGACAATAACAAAGCAATATAAAACAATAAAAATGGTACAGAATTTCAAAATGAAAGTAGAAAATTAATAATGGTTGTTGTATTACATATCGTTATCATCAAATTAGTTGCTCAGATTATAAGATATAGGCATGCAAGACTGACCAAACAAACTGATCAACTATTCAGATAAAGCTCACCATTTCAACTAAAGTGGACAATGCAGGGAATTGTATTAACAGTGCTGTAGATACATTACCACTAATTTCAGACACATCCATCATCCTGCCCCTAGAATTCCCCAGATCTCCAGCAACCTCCTACCCCATCCTTTGGCTACCATTAATCTACTTTCTGTCTCCATGTGTTTGCCTAACCTGCACATTTCACACAAGTGGAATCACAGTCTGTGACTGCAGTCCTGAGCCTCAGGCAAGACATGTGTGCCCAGTCACATGAGAGCTGATCCACTGCCCACACTGGCCCTGGGTCTACACTTATGGGCATGGGTCACATAGATCCCAACCCTTAAGAGCCTCACCAGCCCCTCCTCCTGCAGCCTACAGTCTAGTCTGCTTGTCTCCGTACAGCTGCCCAGTGTTCATTCCTCTGTCCTCTCTCTCAGTGTGTGGACGGCCAGTCACCCCTCTAGCCCAGCACCCAGAGACCCTCGGCCCTTCCAGAGCTCCACTGGGCAGCTTCCCCTGGCAAGCCTTCACTGTCATCCATGGCCGTGGGGGCGGGGCCCTCCTGGGTGACAGGTGGATCCTCACTGCTGCCCACACCATCTACCCCAAGGACAGCGCCTTTCTTGGGAAGAACCAGAGTGTGGACGTGTTCCTGGGCCACACACACATAGATGAGATGCTGCAACTGGGGAACTATCCTGTCCGCCGGGTCGTGGTACACCCTGACTACCGCCAGCATGAGTCCCACAACTTTGATGGGGACATTGCCCTCTTGGAGCTGCAGCACAGGGTCGCCCTGGGCCCTCATCTCCTCCCAGTCTGCCTGCCGGACACTGAGGAGCTTTACCGCAGTGGCCTGTGGGGCTATGTCAGTGGCTTTGGCGCAGCCATGGGCTGGATTACCACGGAGCTGAAATACTCCAGGCTGCCAGTGGCCCCCAGGGAGGCCTGTGAGGCCTGGCTCCGGGAGAAGCAGCGGACTGAGGTGTTTTCAGACAATATGTTCTGTGTGGAGGATAAGATGCCAAGCAACAGTGTCTGCCAGGGGGACAGTGGTAGTGTCTATGTGTTGTGGGATGGTCTCACCCACCGCTGGGTGGCCACGGGCATTGTGTCCTGGGGTATTGGATGTGGCAAGGGGTATGGCTTCTACACCAAAGTCCTCAACTATGTGGGCTGGATCAAGGATGTGATGGGTAGCAGGGATTGAGTGTGGGGCTCACAGGCAGGGACTGGACACTGATTCCACAGGGTTGGGAATGAAATGTAAGCCCTTCAAGCGATGGCTGTGGCCAGGCACCAGGTGGAGAAACCCTCCTCCCCACCACATAGCAGGAAGTAGCACCCAACAGCCCTGTCCCTCCTCTCTACCTTCAAATGTGTTTGTAACAGGGGAGCCCTGCACATCTAAGCAACTGTCACCTGCAATCTTGCATCCCCCTCCCGCAGCTTTTCTGCACTTACCTGTGGAAGAAGCGCCTTCTGATCCTCTATTCAGGTGATGCGTGGAGAAGGAATCATGACATTTTATTCCTGAAATGCTCCAAGGAGCCTTTAATTGACCTTCAGATAATCAAACTGTTGGCTTGTCCCCTACCACAACTCTTACACACAATAATAGTAATAGCTCAAGCTTCATTTCACACCTTTGACACGCGGACTCTTCTCCTGTTATTCCACCTCATCCTCACACATTTGCAAAAGATGCATTTTTATCCACAGCTTACAAATGAGGAAGCTGCAGCTCAGGGAAATGTATTAACTTGCAAGAGCCAGCCAGCACAGAAGCGATTTTCCTTCCAGTATCCGGGCTACCTCTGCCATTGTCCCCAGGACCTACCTTCCCTGTCCTAGTCCCCGATTCTTGCAGATTCTGTCCTTCTTTCTCTGCTTCTGTGAAGTGGGCATCACCTTCCCCTAGCTCCTGGGCTGGGACTTGCTGCACACACATTGGCTGTTGTCACCTGTGAATACCACAAATCACAGGAGACAGTGAATTTGTCAGCTTTGACAATCAAGTTTGTTGTATAACCAAAGGCTGAATTTATTTTTGGCCGGGCATGGTAGCACACACCTGTAATCCCAGCACTCCGGAGGAGGAACACTGAGTTTAGGACAGCCTGGGCTACACACAGTGAGGTAAAGCCCAGCCTGAACTGCTAACAGAGACCCCATCTCAAAAAAAAAAAAAAAAATCTGTGCATACATGCAGTTACTTAAATTTTTAAAAATTTATCCACAGTTCAAAAGACTATTAAAAATATTCTTACAATACTAAGCAGAGCTTGTTTTAATGGGATATGATATGCACCATTTGGTTTTGCATTATTTCTCTGTTTAGAGCAGATGTTATTTAATAAACATGTTATTTTTCAATTTTATTTTTAGTATTGAAAAAGGTATTTTTATTAAAAATTTTACATTAAAAATTATGTTCATCCTTTACAATGCAGAAAACATATGCCAATACCTTTGTATATGTATCTGGATCTATAGGTTTATATTTTAGGTATAGCTGAAGATCCAATTCTAGCTCTAAATTTGGAGATCTAAATTTATACTTAGAGATATAAATGTATAGCTCAAACAAATCCAAAATATAGGTGCACAAGAGAAATAGATACAGATACATCCACAGAAAACCTACCATTGCTTTAAAAGAGAATCTTTTCCCCCAGAACAAATCCTAGAAGAGTTGAACAGTGTAATGCCAGCTTAAAACAAGAACAGGCACAATCATTCTCTGGCCATGTCTCCTTTTTATTTGTAGTCTAAGCGCAAGCTATAGCAAACGTGCATGAGTGAAGGTTGGTTTGAGTGGCTGGGCAAAATGAGGTGGAGCTGGGCCTGAGTTGGGGAGCTCCCAGTTTGTCACTTTTAAGTCATGTGACATGTGACATCACAGCAGAGCGGAACCCAGATTCCCCAAGATGGAGAACTTCAGCTAAGCCTTAGCCTCTCTGACCTCCTCCTCCTTGCCTTTATCTGCCCTGCTTGTGCCTGTACTGCACACCACACACAAGCACACACACATATAGCTGTCAGGGTATGAAAGTGCCACTAGCCGGACAAGATTCCTGTTCCTTATTGTCTTCTGATCTAGTGTGTTTCCTTCTCTCATCTTTTATCTTTCCTGACCTGACAGTGCAGTAGCTCGTGGCCTGGTGAGTTGTCAGATCAGCCCTGCCACCAGATTCGTCCCTCAGCTCCTCCAAACCTTGGCTGTTCACGCACCCTCCATGTGCCCGCTGTCTACTACATTTCGTGAGGACATGGCCATTACTAAATGAGGACTTGTCCATTTTTGTGAGTCCTAGACAGTGCCTGGCACATGAAACAGGGTGAGCAGGTGGGGAGATGGGTAAAGAGGTTCAACTCAGAAGGAAATCAGGGCTGGCCAAATAGCTCAGCGGATTAAAGCGCCTGCTTAGGCAGATGCTGTGCCGGCCCCACCTGCAGGGCGTACTGAGACAGTGATGGAGACTGGGCGTGGTAGCATTCACCTATGATCCCAGCACTTGGGAGGCTGTAAACTAAGAGGATCATTATGAGTCTGATCTACTTAGTGAGACCCTGTAGACCCTGTACTAAATACATTTTTTAAAAAAGAAAGAAAGAAAGAAAGAAAAGAAGGAAATCAGCCTACAAGTATGTAGGAACTTGGAGCCTGCTCAAAAAGTGGCAGAGGACATTGAGGCCATGGAGAATTGAAGAAAGGCTCCCCTAAAGAGCAACATTTTATGTCAGGATCTCACCTCCCAGTGGACGGGAGAGCTGTCTCAGGGTCCTGAATTCCTCTCAGAGAAGCCCAACTTGCTCTCACTCCACAGCCACACCGTGTGCCTAAGCACTAAGTCATGAAACCCATGGGTCTCAAACTCAAGAAGATATGGAGAAAACAGGGTGCCACCCCAGCCCACCGGCAAGCCTCTGCTTAGTCACCCGCCATCACAAGCCTCTCTCTAGGTCTGTGTCACCAGAAAACAAAATCCATCCTCCTCTGTCTACTCCCAAATGTTCTCCAGTGTCCTGCTGTTCCTGTCACTTGCATTGCGCCCTGGCCTTTCCTAGACTGGGCTGCGGGGTGACTACGAACAGGAAGAGTGGAGTCAAAGCTTCTTGAGGCACCTCTGACCAGTCCAGGAGCTGCCCTGGCAGGAATACCCAAAGCAACTCAGATGTGAGTAAGCCTGGGGGTCCCCGTTGCCCTGTGCATAGAAACCTTAAAAACACAACAACAGAGCAGCTAGAAAAGTCTTTGAAGAAATGTGGATTAGCCAGGTGTGGTGGCTCAGACCTATAATCCCAGCACTTGGGAGCCTAACGCAGAAAGATCACTGGGAGTCCAAAGCCAGCCTGAACTACATAGTGAAAGACAGAAAGAAGAAGAGGTAGAGGAAGAGGAACAGGAATGCTGATTAGATTTACAAACTGAGTAGGGACCTTCACCCAAAGTTTCCCCAGGCCTAGCGCTTCAGACCTGAGCTCGTCTTTTCCCCCTTAGACCAGCAGGTGGCAGCACCAACAGGGCTAGCAAAACCAAAACCAAAGAAACTCAGATTTTTTGGTTTTGTTTATGCAAATAGTTCATTCCCTCATTCCTCCGGGAATGATCCCACTCCACCTCCCCAATCAGCCCTCCCCTTCCCCGTTCTGCAGGGCTGCTCTCTCCCTGAACTCTCCGTGAATGAATACACCGCCCGCTGTCAAGAGAGCAGAGGACACAGAAACAAGCAGGCCTGGGAAATGTGAGTAAATATGGGGAAACTGAGGCAGGAAGAGGGGCTGGGCACAAGAGACAAGCCTGCCCCAGACTTATGCAGGCGCCGGGGATGCCCTCCCCCCGCAACCCCGTACCCTGTCTGTGCGAGCGCGCACACACACACACACACACACACACGCACACGTCCTGAGGAAACACAGGAGAGGCTTCCTTCTTTTTCTTCCTCTGGGCTCATAACAAGGAGACCTGACCTGGAGGGACCCCCACCCTCCTCGGCAGGAGGAACCCCTTGGAGGCTTCTCCCAGAGAGCTCTGCTGCACCTATGGGACCCCTTTGGAGAGCCATGCCCGGGAGCCCTCGCCCTCCATGCCCTGGTCCCATTCCAGTCCCATTCCGGGAAGGGGCGGTGATGAAGCAGGCGGGAGGGCACATGATGCGAGCATGCGACCTCTAGACTGGACACTGCCCAGGGAGGGAGCGCAGAACGATACACACACACACACACACACACACACACACACACACACACAGCCAGAGAGAAGCTGGGCTGCTCCTCACCAGCCCTGCAGACACCTCTCTCCCTTCCACAGGTGGCGCTTCTCCCTGCTGGTGCCAGCCCTGCTCTGTGGGGTGGGAGGCTCCGTCCCCATCCCTCAGAAGCTCTTTGGGGCAGTGACTTCCCCTCTGTACCCCAAACCTTACCCCAACAACTATGAAACAACCACTATCATCACAGTGCCCCCAGGATACAGGGTGAAGCTCGTCTTCCAGCACTTTGACGTGGAGCCTTCTGAGGGCTGCCTCTATGACTATGTCAAGGTAGGGGGCAGTATGGGGGCAGAGGGCAACTGTCCTGAGAGCCGTGCTCCAGCGGCCCTGGCAGCAGGACCACCCCAACACCCGCCGGCCCTGGGTAGACTTCTGAGGGCTACTCCATGCCTCAGATGGGGTGCTCAGGGAGCACCATGGGAGAAATAGAGAAGGGTAGGCACAGTAGGCATACTGTTGACTCACTGGGAGTCCTTGAGAAACATTTGTGCCTCAGTTTCCCTGTTTCCATGGAGAATATGGCCATGACTGCCCAGCTCAACAGGAACATGAGAAAGAGAAATGTGTGTGACAACACACACACAGCTCCAGCAAGGACAGGGACTCTGTTCCCCACTCTGTGTCCACCAAGGAGATGCCTTCCCCATCTTTTACATACAGTAAAGATAAGATTGCAGATTCAGGCAGAGCCTATGCATGACCATTGCAGGCAACAGCCTGGAGGCTGATGGAACAACATGGAAACTTCACAGCTTCCAAGCACATTCAAAGGGCATGTGGTGGCCTGGAGGGTGAGGAGCAGAGAAGCCTGTGAGGAAAGGAGACAGGAAAGCAAGGCAGCTAGGCCCCGGGGCTGGCACCAGCCACATCCATCCTGAGGTGTGTGGGGCACAATAAGAAGATAATATGAAAACAAGCCGAAGTCTGGGAGTGAAGGAACCATAAAACTGGGCAGAGACCACCAGGATGCCTGTGGAAGGACCCAGACAGGTGGAAATGAGAGAGAGCCGAAACCTGTCAGAGGGTCAGGCATAGAACAGAGACGGGGTGACATCCTAGCCACAGGTCACAGGCAGAGTCAGTCAGTGGGAGACACGGGTGACTGGCGGACTTCACACGGATATCTGCAGCCATCAGTGTCCAGCAGGCAGTGACCATTTGGAACCATATTTCACTCTGGGTACAGAGAGGATCCAACTCCTCAGCCTGACTTCTTCCCCCATCTTGTCTGTTTTCCACCAGATCTCTGCAGATAAGAAAAACCTTGGGAGGTTCTGTGGGCAGCAGGGGTCCTCCCTGGGCAACCTTCCAGGGAAGAAGGAATTTGTGTCAAAAGGGAGCAAGATGCTGCTGACCTTCCACACAGACTTCTCCAATGAGGAAAATGGGACCATCATGTTCTACAAAGGCTTCCAGGCCTACTATCACGCCGTGGGTAAGTGGTCCCTGAGGGTAGCACTTCTCCTTGGCCTTGGCAGGAAACGGGAACCTTGAATCAAAAGAAGCCCGAAGCCTGGCTTTCTTTGTTTCTCCTCTCAAAAGAAAGGGCCTGTCAAACCTGGGGTCTGTCCCCACTGGGCAATTCCCAGGAAGCATTAGGGAGGCCCAGATGTCCTGGTAGCTGGGAGTGGAGTTTGTCGCTAGGTCTCCAGTGAGTGACCTTTCTGAGACTGGGCCCTTGCAGAAATTTCCTGGCTTGGATTCAACTCCTCCTTTTTTTTATATTTATTTTTTAATTGAGAAATAAATATGAATGAAACAGTTTCACAGCTGATTAATAGGACAGTTTTGATAGTCAGTACTCTGTACATTGTTATCTTCTTAGTGGTTATCCATAGAACAAGAAGCAGACAGGATATTCTGTCCAAACACTGTTAGTACACCTCTTTCTTCTCATTGAGTTAAGCGAAAGTAGCTGTAAATTTATCCTAACTATTATGTATACATAAATACAAAATGATCTTTCCTTTGTATCTTTTTTTAATTTTAATTTTTTTTCTGTCCTGTCAGAGGTGAATATTCTATTGGCATCTAAATACTATAGGTTTTTAATTTCAACTAAACAATCGAACACTGTCTAGCAGTCTACAATATTAGGGGTTATCCTCAGAAGTTATTGACTTGAGCCTTTTACAGCTCATCGTATTAATATGGATTTACTTTATACTTTTCTGCTGGATGGTTAAGACCAAGATATAGCAAGACCTATATACCCAGAAATGTAACTTTTGTATCTGATAAGGTCAGCCAAGTACTCTCAGGATTTATCCTGTAGCCCTGTACCACTCAACTCCTCCTTCTGAATCTCCTCCAGACCTCGACGAATGTGCTTCCCAGAGCAACTCAGTGGAGGACGACCCCCAGCCCCGCTGCCAGCACCTCTGTCACAACTATGTCGGTGGCTACTTCTGTTCCTGTCGTGCAGGCTACGAGCTTAGCGAGGACGGACATTCCTGCCAGGGTGGGTCAAGTGGGCTGTGGGGGGAGGAACTAAATGGGAATGCTGGGCCCGTGGTGACCCCCAAGACTCCACTCTCACAGCTGAGTGCAGTGGCCAGCTGTACACAGAGCCATCGGGCTACATTGCCAGCCTGGAGTACCCCCGGCCATACCCTCCGGATCTGCGCTGCAACTACAGCATCCGGGTGGAGCGGGGCTTCACCTTGCACCTCAAGTTCCTGGAACCTTTTGAGATTGATGACCACCAGCAAGTACATTGCCCCTATGACCAGCTTCAGGTACAGACATCCTGCCGACAGCCCCTCCCTCTCCTTCCCACACCCAAGTGGCTTCTCTCATCCATCCTTCCTGCTGGATCCTCTGGTCAACTCAGCCAGGGGTAGCCAGCGTCACACCAGGGCTCAGGGCTGGGCAAGTTCCTGCACAATCAGGAGTCCTGGTGGTCCTTTCCACCTTCAGCTGAAAACATACACAAGGCAGATTTTATCCTTGTGTAAAAAATCCCTCAGCTGGGGGCTGGGGAGATAGCTCAGCAGTCTAAGCACCTCCCTGGCAAGTATAAGCTCAAGGATCAGAGTTCGATGCCCAGTACCATGTGCTGTGCCAGCCCCAAAACCAGGTGTGGTGGCACACCCTGTAATCCCAGCACTGGGGAGACTGAGACAGGAGGATCACTATGAATCCAAACTGTATAGCGAGGCCCTGTATCAAGTAAATTTTTAAAAAATTCCCCAGCTGGAAAACTAACCCTCCCTCCTCTCCCATCAGATCTATGCCAACAGGAAAAACCTAGGCGAGTTCTGTGGGACACAGAGGCCTCCTGCCCTAGACGCCAGCAGCAATGCGGTCGACCTACTGTTCTTCACTGATGAGTCAGGGGACAGCAGGGGCTGGAAGCTGCACTATACCACAGAAAGTAAGGCCAGGGGGCTGCTCGTGTCACTCAGTGACAGGGCTTGTCAGCATGCCTAAAGGCCTCGGTTCCATCCCTAGCACCAAGATCAATAAATACAAGTAAAATATGAGGCTCCCAGGGGCCTCCCTCACTGGGGAGAAGGATGGCCAGTGGCTCTGACATAACCTTGTTCTTCCCTGACAGTCATCAAGTGCCCGCAGCCCAAGCCCCTAGACGAGTTCACCGTCATCCAGAACCCTCAGCCGCAGTACCAGTTCCGGGACTACTTCATTGTCACCTGCAAACAAGGCTACCAGCTCATGGAGGTAAGGCCCCAGCGCTGAGGGGAGCCGGCAGCCAGGCCCCGCCTCCCAGGGGCATCCAGGTGGGTCCTCCCATCCAGGTGGGTCACACACACTGGAATCACAAGGGCTGAGCTTGTCTACTAGCTCTCCATCTTAAGTATACACTGCAAATGCTCAGAGAGCTTTTAAAAATACTAGTGTCCGGCTCTCCCGCTGGATGATTCTGTTATCCATCTGTACTATGCCTTGGCGTTAGAATTATTTAAAATTACTCAGTTGATTCTAAAATGCAGCCAAAGCTGAAGACTACTGACCTTGTCCGTGACTTATGGTAGACTGAGAACAGGAAAGGCAGGGTGGAAACATGATGATTTTGTACAGCAGGGCTAGGCCCACAGCCTCTGCTCTAGGACTCTATTCACATCAGGGGTCTCACACTGGACTCACTACCCTCTCAGCTTTGCAGACTCAGGATGAAATATGGCTTTATGTATGGATCAAGGTCACAAAAATCTCATAAACTGAAACCCTGTTTCCTAAAAATATACCATTGGAATTTCCCATTTTCTAGTCTTGTCCTGCTGCCTGCCCAACTGCGACAGCACTTAGCAAACATCAGTATCTCACCCTGAAACAGTGTAGGTGTGTCTGTGGCCTCACTGCCCTGAACACGCCCAATCTCTGGAAGGGGCTGGATAACAAAGGTGTTTTAGGACAGGCCATGCCCTTCAGAAAACTGTAATTTAGGCAAGAAGATGTGGTGTGGACCTCAGCTGGCAGGCCCCTCTTGAGAGGGAAAAGAAACCTGAGTCTTTTGTCTCAGTACAAAACATTTATTCTGGTTGTGGTTTTTAAATTACAAATCGTGGAGTTTACTGGGAATAAGTAAGAGTCAGGGGGGTAGATTTTTGTGTCTACAAATTAGTCTTTGCTCTGACTTTCTGCTGTTTAACTTGGGGCTCTGGACTGAGAGGGCCAGCTAGAGAGAAGAAGGAGCTACAGGCAGGAGACGCTGAGGGCTGGAGTTTGCCAGCTGTCTGCACATCTGCTCCTGCTTGCAGCTGTGTGCCTCTGGTGCTCATGGCTCCTCTGACCTCTGCTCACACAGGGGGACAAGGCACTGGTGTCCTTCTCAGCTGTCTGCCAGGATGATGGCACATGGGATCGTACCATGCCCACGTGCAAGAGTAAGTCACAGTTCCGGGATATGTCTGCCCCTGAAGCCCTCCAACCTGTTCCCCTCCAGAACCTGAACTAAAAAGAAAAGAAGTGGTCCAAACTAAGCCTCTCCCCAAGAGACCTGTCCCCTCTCAGGGTTCCCCCAAAGTTGAACTGCACTGTACCCAACTCAACAGTTCGCAAATGCCCTCCTCACTGGTCTTATTTCTCTAAGGTTTGAAGCTCATTCTGCAGGCATACAACACACACACACACACACACACACACACACACACACACCCCTATAACCATTCTCAGTACTCATCCTACCTGTACTCTCTCCAAGTCAGGGACTGCGGGCAGCCCCGAAGCCTGTCTAATGGGGATTTTCGTTACATCACCACCAACGGGGTGAACAGCTACAAGTCCCAAATCCAGTACTACTGCCGAGAACCATATTACAAGATGAAGATCCGAGCCAGCAGCAGCGAGTCAGACAGGGGTAGGCCATCCTGCCTCTTCCTGCCTCCTCCTGCCTCCTCCTGCCTCCTCCTGCCTCCTCCTGCCTCCTCCTGCCTCCTCCTGCCTCCTCCTGCCTCCTCTGCCTCCTCCTTTGATCGAACTCAGGCCCTTGTACTTGCCTGGGAAGCACTTATTCCACTGAGCTATCTCCCCAGCTTCACTTTGCTTCACTTTTCTTCACTTCACCTCTCTTCGCCTCTCTTTGCCTCTCTTCGTCTCTCTTCTTCTCTTCTCCTTCTTCTCCCTCTCCCTCTCCCTCTCCTTCTCCTCCATCCCTTCTCCTCCTTCTCCTTCTTTTTCTTCTCCTTCTTCTTCTCTCTCTCTCTCTCTCTCTCTCTC